GTTATATGTCCAGGCAAATGGGATAAAAGCATGTATAAAATATCTAATTTGTGCTTTGCACATAATGGGCATCAACATACAGTAGGAAGATAAACAGAGTAATGGGCTTTTTAATGGAACTGCATCCCAGCTACCGAAATGTGACTTTTTGAGCCAGAAGTCCGAGTTCATATTTGTGAAAGAGAAAAGTCTAAATCGAAAGAAATGATCCAAACTAAAGGTGGGAGTAAGCAAAATTCTAAATACATATTATATGCAATAACAAAAGTAAAAACTTCCATTTTAAAATATCATATATATTATGTTGAACTTTCTGGGAAACTGAGCAAGAAGGGTGTTACAGTATTCTACAGATGAGAAACAATGTCGGAGGAAGATTATTACTTGCCTGCAGTCTAACAGCTTATCAATGGGAGAAATGATATTTGAACTCAGTAGAATTAACATATGGATACTATGTATTATACTATGCATTGTGGAATAACCATAAAAAGATCTACCACAAATAAACACTATAGATAGGTATATATAAATCAGGGAAAAATTGAGGTACTGGGAGAACAGAGAAAGGTACACAATCCAGATTAGGGGTAGGAAGGGGTTGGTCCTCGGTGAAAAGATTATTTTCGCTAAAGTAAGAGAAGTCAATGTATTAAAGCAAATGCCTATCTTCTCTTAACTGTGAACGGCTGAAGAAAACATTACACTATCAAAGACAGCAACCTCAATTGGCTCCCCCAAATTGCCTGGCAAGCCTCTGAGGTTTCTTTAGTTTTTCCTCTTCTCTATTCTTTTACAATTGCTATTTTCAGTATTCTTCACTTTTCTAAAAATCGTATGTACCCTCTCCCAATTTCCTTTATTCTCAGCAAATGACCCTAACTGCCACTTCATAGAGAGAAGGCATCATGTGAGATCTCCTCTGAATTCTTCCACCAATTTAATTGTCTTCATCCTTTCTCAGTGCTCTTCCACTAAAGGCCAATCCTTCTATCTCAGTGCACCCCTCTCAGAGAGTTTATGCTGTCAATATTGCCTTCTTTCCCTCCCACCTTATTGCCTTTTTCCGTCAACACTGAAAAATACTCAGGTTCTTCTTTCTAAAAAGTAACCCCTCTCTCCAAATTTAAACCTTATCTACCTACATCAACCACTCTATCTTTCCCCTTCTTAGCCAAACTTCTTTAGAGAAGTACTTGCTGCCTGTATTTCATTTTGGGCTAGCTCTTCAACTCAAAGCAACCTGGCTTCTGTCCCTCTACTCTCAGTAAATCACCACTTTTTCAAAAAATACCTCTCTCAGTTACCTGCTCCCATAGCACCATCTAATTGCCCTTTACATATTTATTAAACTTGCAATTACTTAATCAAAGGCTGTTGCCCCCACTAGACTGTAAGCTCTAATAGGGTAGGACTTGGATCTACACCCAGCTTCTTCAGCACACAGGTGCTCACCAGTATTAAGTCTGGATGAGATCACCATGACCTCCTTTTGGCTGAACCCAGTGGTCCCTTTAACACTAACTTAAAAATCCTCTTTTTGATCATACATTCTTCCTTAAACACTCTACTCACCATTCTTTTCTTTATGCTTTCAATAAATATTAATTTAACGTGGCAAATAAACAAATATTTCGTTAGCATGCTAACTACATACTAGGCACTATTCCAGAATATAGAGATATAGCAACAAATAAGATGATGAATAAGACACAAGATCTTAAGGAAACACATTTTAGCAGAAGAAATAGATGTAAACAAGCAAACACAGCAGATCATTTGAGATGATGTTATTATGTGTTAAAACAGGATTATGTCATGGGAGTGTAACAACTATGTAAGATAGTCAGGGGAGCCTCTGTGACAGGGTAGCATTTAAGCTGATTCCTCAAATATGAGAAACAACCAATCATGTCAAGATGTGGGAGAAGGGGATTCCCAGCAGAAACAGGAGTAGAAGCGGGGCCCCTGGTTCTCCACTCCCTCTATTCACTCTCCCTGGGCATCACATCTGTATCCTTTCTACAGTTTACCACGAGTAACCTGGAGACTTATAAGCCTAAATCTCCATGCCAGCTCTCTCTTTGGAGAGCTCAGTACTCAAATGCCCATGCCTATTCAACATCTCCACCTGGATATTTCACCAGTACCACAAGTTCAGTGTAACCCAAAAGTGAAAAATTCTCAACTCAAACCTCACTTTCTGTACTCTCCTAGCTAAGTGAACTATACTTATACTGTAAACTGTCAGTTACTAAAGCTGACATCAAAATATCCTTGATTCCTTCTTTCCCCTCTTCCATCCAATATATTAGCAATCATAGTGACTTAACTTCCAAAAGATACTTCAAATTGGTTCACTTCTTCCATCCTCACAGCCACTATTAGTCCATGGCATCGTCTTCTTCAACAAGATTACTGAACCTTAGGTTGGTATTGCTTCAAGTCTTGAGCCCGTGAAACTCTCCACATTGCAGGCTACGCCTAAACATTTTCAATTATTCTCCAGTATCCTTTGCATGGCTTCATGGCATGATCTTTGCTAATGACATGTGCCTTCATGTGGCTGGCATACAACATGCATTTAAATAGCTGCTAGCTGACTGAAAATAGCTTTCCAGCTACATGTCTCACTATTCTCTTGCCCCTAGTCCTCTGCACTATACAATTCCCTCTGCCAAGAATCGTAATTCTACTTTTTTTCTACTTGGCTATCTCCTGATGATCTCTCAAATGGCGTTCCCTTTGGGTAAGTACTCTTTCGAAAACCTTGACAATCCCAGCACTCAGTGGAATGCATCCCTCCAGACTAGGTAAAGTATTCTGCGGTACGATTGCATCATTACCTACACCACTTTTATCACAGTATCCTTGTATTATTGTATGTGTTCATCTAACGTTTGCCTTTCCCCAAGAAACTGGGACCATTTATATCTTATTCCTAACTCTATTCCTAACTCTTATAATAGTATTTGACATGTAATGAGGGCTGAACAGACATTTGCTGCACTCATGCATACATGATTTGTTCTAACATATTTACAACTATTCATGTTTGAATCCTTATTCCAAAATCATTTTTATTTGGAAGAACGAGTCCTATGAAGAATAGGAACAGAAATTTACGAGAGCAGAGAGAACATAATGGACAGAATTTCAGAGATTATTACATGTTTAATTTTTTTTCGTGGGGGAAGGGGAACGAAGTCTCGCTCTCGTCGCCCAGGCTGGAGTGCAATGGCATGATCTCGGCTCACTGCAACCTCCACCTCCCAGGCTCAAGCAATTCTCCTGCCTCAGCCTCCTGAGTAGTTGGGATTACAGGCACCTGCCACCACGCCTGGCTAATTTTTGTATTTTTAGTAGAGATGGGGTTTTTCACTATGTTGGCCAGACTGGTCTTGAACTCCTGACCTCAGGTGATCCACCCCACCTGGCCTCCCAAAGTGTTGGGATTATAGATGTGCGCCACTGTGCCCAGCCTAGATTGAAATTTTTTTTTAAAATTGTGACTATTTTATTTCCAACCTTTCCTAATATAAATCCCAAATTCTACCACTGACCGATAAAAGCATTATCAGAAGCTTAAAATCTCTGATATTAGCAAATTTTCCACCCTCTTCCTTTTCTAAGCCTATTACTACAATCTTTATTTAAGTGCTTAGAGGTTCAATTCTGGTAACTCTTAGGAGAGTTACTGATAATAATAATAATTACATATATATATTTTTACTTCACAGTTGAAATAAAATAATTGTGGATATGTCATTGAGAGCTATTACTAAAACTGAAAAAACAATGAATAGTTTTTTTTCTATTTATTCATCACCCAAAAACGGATAATAATTATTAGCAACTCTTATCACAATAAAACTCTGTAAGACATAGCAAGTGCTGTTATGTAAAATACTATTTGTGTTATAAAAGAAAACTGATATTTTCCTGCATCTTTGATGTTGCAGTGAATGCAAAGCTTATTTTAAATTTTAGATTGGTACTACTGGCTGACATGATTAGGTCACAAAATATCAAAATAAGAAATATAAAATAAGATAAATTGTTATAAAAACAGAAGATATTTCTCAAAATATAATACAGTGATGGAAAAAATGAATAATACTAAGTGATATTTAATTTTTAAAACTTGGGTATCTATAACATATAGAAACTAATTTTCAAGGACTATTCTTTCACAACTCCCTTTCTTGAAAAAGATAAATTTTATATACAGTAAGCATTATTTCCTCATTAATCTAAAGCTGGTTTCAAATATGAAATAAATAGGTCATGCCAAATAATCATCATATTCCAAAGAATGCAGCGTATCATACAAGAAATTCAAGTTGTAAAGTTTGCAGGTCTTGAGTTGATAGAAGCTATACATGTCACATGGTGACAGCTAAATCTATTTTAATGTGTCCACTGCCAATAAAGCACTGCAAAAATAATAATTAACAACTATTTACCACAAAATGGTAAATATAATAATGTGTTCAAATGTAATTTTACTTATTGTTTTAATAATAGAATATATACATTTCTACCCGAGAGAGATATATTTGCTATATTTAATATCCCTCACATTTTCAGTTGGATATTGAATGAGTGACATATTCAGATAAAACTGTTTCACATGGACTGAGGAGAGGCTGAAGGGGTAAACACTGAGCACTGCTCTGAAAACAGATGGAGTGGCAGATGGGATTGCAGATTGGGTTCACTTGATCTGTGTAAAACAACTTTACTACTCAGTAAAATGTACTTCAAATCTCACCAAACCTTATAAAGTTTGTCCCTTTATTTCATGCATGGCTTTTTCTTCAAAAATAAATGTTTAGCATTTTAAACTTTGTTAAAGTTTAATTAAGTACCTGTGTGATAAATTAGTTAACTAAAAGATATTTTCTTCCACATTTTTGGAACAGATGGTAGGAAAGAGCAATTGCCCAGTGGAATAAAATGTACACTGACTAGTTGTTCAAAATTGTAAAATCAATTACCTTCCTTCATTGATGAGCTCAATAAATGCAAGTCCTGCATTCTTCTGAATAGAGTTTTGCCATTCCTAAAAGGAGAAACCAAAACAAATGTGAGAAAAGTGAACATTTAAATGAAAGTAACATCTGGTTTAGGGATCACGTTGATGTTGTTAATAACTTCCACATTATATTATTTCCAAATGTCTTTACAAGATTCTAACAAACGTTATTTTGTAAAAAATCAAATTTTAGTTTTATCACTTAGTTTAGAAGGTGCTTTTGGTTCATCAGAAAATGTCAGGCTGGATGCAAACTGAGATGGAAAGTGAGACGCAGGTATAGAGGGCTCTGAGCACATAGCTTCTTTCCAAAAGAGAGCAAATGACCAAAAGAGGCCTGATGTGTCTACATAAGGACTAGAAATACTTGAGATAGAAAACTTTATCTCCTCATACAGAAATTTTACATTAAGATAATAAAATGAACACTAGAAATATAAACTATTAGAAACATAAACATATTTAAATTGACTTGGAAGTGAAATGTTCTAGTTATATGTGCATTCCAAATTACTTAATGCTAATTATTTAATGCTAATTAGAAAAAAGTTACAAATTAACTTTTTTGAAAATTGTAAAAAAAATAGAGTAAACCTATGGCTAAATATGTAATAGATAACTATGTAATCTCTCTTTGCTAATTTAGATTAGAGTATGTTTGTGAATTTGGCAGTTCTCAAAGTCAGGATCATCATTATGAACATAAGTGATTATAATGAAGTGTTTTAGATTAGAAAAGCAAACGCTTATTTTATGCTCTTTAGAATAAAATTTACACACTTGTTTTGGTTTATGCCAGTGATTTCTATTTTGGGGGTTTTAAATATATACATATTTTTGGGTTTTAAATACATATATAAATATATATATTTCAGGTTAAATATATATAGGGGTTTTAAATATATATATATGTGTGTGTGCATATATACACATCTGGTAAAAAGCAGTGTTTTGGATTGAAAATTATATCCCTTCCAATGGTTCTATAAGTAAATACTCCCCAAAGTTCCCTAATGCATTTTAATAGAAAAATCTTTATTGACCAGTCATGGCCCTCTATATATTCCCCTCCCCATGATTTTCCTCATAAGGTGTTGGTTGTACAGAGGTGACTGGCTGCCCTGGCCATGGGTTCAGCTTTACAAAAAACACAGTTTCTGTATCAACCCTTCACTCTACTCCTGATTCCTTTACCTTTAAAGAAATTACACTCATTCTGAAGATAAATATGGTCCCCAAAAGTATTTGTGTACGTGTAAATATTCTCTGCTCTAAGTAAATGTGTGCTAAGAAGAACAAATCCTCAATCTCCCAAGGAGAGAAAATCAACAACTAGTGAAAAGAGATGTGGTAACCTGGGGATAGTACAAAGCCACTGGGTTCTAGCTATCATAACCTTTAACTAAAATTTATCCAAATGACAAGATTGCTATTCCATTGTACAGAACTTACTGAAACTTTCAAACCAATTCTGTATGAAACAATTGCAGGAAATTTCTTTTCCCAAATTTTTATAAAATTTAAAGCCTCTTTAATATTCTCATTCTATATTCTGTATTTATTGGAAATGAGGATCCTACAAAATATGTACATTTCTCAGAAATAATTCATATTCATTGGGATATTAACTTAAAGAGAAAACTGATTTTTACATAAGTAGACCCATGTCACTATGAAGACTAGATTATTACAACTTCTTACACATGATTTTCTGTGATAGTGTTTGTACACTAAGACTCTTTAGTCACCATAAACTTATAATATGAATAAGATTTTTCAGTAAGCTATTTCACAGAGTACATATTTAGGTATTACATTTGCATCCCAAATTATGCCTTGTCAAAAAAATCACAGAGTAAATTATCTTTGAATCAATCTAAATTATATGGAATCTGCATACAGCCCATGAGATGTACTAATTTACCTTTGGTGGAGGAACACTAGAAGGAAGTCTGAGCTACACTAAGGAAATTAGAGTTTAAAGTTTGAGAAAGCCAATGAAAGACTTCATTCAATAAATCAGTGTTTTAGAAGAGTAATTTGTCAGTTTTGAGCAAGAGGAAATTGTAGGAGATTGTTGTTACATGCCTTTCCACAAGAGATATATTAGGCGTCTAAATGAGTATTTCAAATAGGGAATAAAAAAATAAGAGATGTTACAAAGAAAAGATGCCAAGACTAGATAATAATCTGAATTTAAGAGCTGGTATAGAGAATTTGAGATAAAATAATTATTAAGTTTTCAATGTAGATGACTAGGATAATGGTAATATTATTATGAAAATACTGAAGAATACATTTGGGGAAATCACAAACACTGTTGTCTGAATTTGTTGGATTTACAGTGGCAATGGTATATCAAAAAAGAACGTGAATGGGGGCGCCCAAGATGGCCAAACAGGAACAGCTCCAGCCTCCAGCTCCGAGCATGAGGGACACAGAAGATGGGTGATTTCTGCATTTTCAACCGAAGTACTGGGTTCATCTCACTGGGGCATGTCGGACAGTCAGTGCTGGTCAGTGGGTGTAGCCCAACCAGCGAGAGCTAAAGCAAGGTGAGGCATCGCCTCACCTGGGAAGTGCAAGGGGGAAGGGAATTCCTTTTCCTAATCAAGGGAAACTGAGGCACACAACACCTGGAAAATCAGGTAACTCCCACCCTGCTACTGTGCTTTACCAAGGGTCTTAGCTAACGGCACACCAGGAGATTATATCCCACACGTGGCCCAGAGGGTCCCACGCCCACAGAGCCTCCCTCACTGCTAGCACAGCAGTCTGAGATCTAACTGCAAGGCGGCAGCGAGGCTGGGGGAGCGGTGCCTCCATTGCTGAGGCTTAAGTAGGTAAACAAAGACCCTGGGAAGCTCAAACTAGGTGGAGCCCACTGCAGCTCAAGGAGGCCTGCCTGTCTCTGTAGACTCCACCTCTAGGGACAGGGCATAGCTAAACAAAAAGCAAAAGAAACCTCTGCAGATGTAAATGTTACTGTCTGACAGCTGTGAAGAGAGCAGTGATTCTCCCAGCATGGAGGTTGAGATCTGAGAAAGGAGAGACTGCCTGCTCAAGTGGGTCCCTGATCTCTGAGTAGTCTAACTGGGAGAGGTCCTCCACTAGGTGCAGACTGATACCTCACACCTCACACAGCTGGGTACACCTCTGAGACAAAGTTTCCAGAGCAAGAATCAGACAGCAACACTTGCTGTTCAGCAATATTCTATCTTCTGCAGCCTGCGCTGCTGATACCCAGGCAAACAGCGTCTGGAGTGGACTTCAAGCTAACTCCAACAGACCTGCAGTTGAGGTTCCTGACTGTTAGAAGGAAAACTAACAAACAGAAAGGACACCCACACCAAAACCCCATCAGTACATCACCATCATCAAAGATCAAAGGTGGATAAAACCACAAAGATGGGGAAAAAGCAGTGCAGAAAAGCTGGAAATTCAAAAAATTAGAGCTCATCTTCCCCCTCCAAAGGAACGCAGCTCATCGCCAGCAACGGAACAAAGCTGGTTGGAGAATGACTTTGACGAGTTGAGAGAAGAAGGCTTCAGTTGATCAAACTTCTCAGAGCTAAAGGAGGAACTACGTACCCAGCAAAAAGAAATTAAAAACCTTGAAAAAAGAATGGAAGAAGGGATAACTAGATAACCAATGCAGAGAAGTCCATAAACGAACTGATAGAGATGAAAACCATGACACGAGAACTAGGTGACAAATGCACAAGCTTCAGTAACTGACTCAATCAACTGGAAGAAAGATTATCAGTGATTAAAGATCAAATGAATGAAATGAAGTGAGAAGAGAAGTTTGGAGAAAAAAGAGTAAAAAGAAATGAACAAAGCCTCCAAGAAATATGGGATCATGTGAAAAGACCAAATCTACATCTGATTGGTGTGTCTGAAAGTGACAGGGAGAATGAAACCAAGTTGGAAAACACTGTGCAGGATATTATCCAGGAGAAGTTCCCCAACCTAGCAAGGCAGGCCAATATTCAAATTCAGGAAATACAGAGAATGCCACAAAGATACTCCTCAAGAAGAGCAACTCCAAGACACATAATTGTCAGATTCACCAAAGTTGAAATTAAGGAAAAAATGCTAAGGGCAGCTAGAGAGAAAGGTTGGGTTACCCACAAAGGGAAGCCCATCAGACTAAGAGCATATCTCTTGGCAGAAACTTTACAAGCCAGAAGAGAGTGGGGGCCAATATTCAACATTCTTAAAGAAAAAATTTTCAACCCAGAATTTCATATCCAGCCAAACTAAGTTTCATAAGTGAACGAGAAATAAAATCCTTTAAAAAACCAGCAAATGCTTAGAGATTTTGTCACCACCAGGCCCACCCTACAAGACATCCTGAAGGAAGCACTAAACATGAAAAGGAATACCCGGTACCAGCCATTGGAACAACATGCCAAAATGTAAAGACCATCGATGCTAGGAAGAAACTGCATCAATTAACGAGCAAAATAACCAGCTAATATCATAATGACAGGATCAAGTTCATACATAACATATTAACCTTAAATATAAATGGACTAAATGGTCCAATTAAAAGACACAGACTGGCAAATTGGATAAAGAGTCAAGACCCATCAGTTTACTGTATTCAGGAGACCCATCTCACATGCAGAGACACACATAGACTCAAAATAAAGGGATGGAGGAAGATCTACCAAGCAAATGGAAAACAAAAAAAGGCAGGGGTTGCAATCCTAGTCTCTGATAAAACAGACTTTAAACCATCAAAGATCAAAAGAGACAAAGCCATTACATAACGGTAAAGGGATCAATGCAACAAGAAGAGCTAACTATCCTAAATATATATGCACCCAATTCAGGAGCACACAGATTCACGAAGCAAGTCCTTAAAGACTTACAAAGAGACTTAGACTCCCATACAATAATAATGGGAGACTATAACACCCACTGTCAAGATTAGACAAATCACTGAGACCTAAAGTTAACAAGTATATCCAGGAATTGAACTCAACTCTGCACCAAGCGACCTAATAGACATCTACAGA